AATTTTTGTATTTTTTTGTAGAGACAGGGTCTCACTTTGTTGTCCAGGCTGTTCTCAAACTCCTGAGCTCAAGGAGTCTACCTGCCTTGGCCTCCCAAAGTGCTGGGATTACAGGCATGAGCCACCTTTCCTGGCCATAATATAATTTTAACCACTTATAAGTATGTAATTCAGTAGCATTTAGTTCATTCACAGCATGATACAGTGTATTTCCAGAACATATTCATCATCTGAAACAGAAACTCTGTACCCATTAAACAATAACTCTGTCCCCCTCACCCCCACAGCCAGTCCCTAATCACCTCTCTTCTACTTTCAGTCTGTGTGAATGTGCCTATTCTAGGTGTCTCAAGTAAATCATCTGGTATGTGGGCTTTTGTATCTGGCTTATTTCACTAAGCATAGGGTGTTTCATCCAAGTTGTAGAATGTCTCTGAATTTTATTCTTTATATGGCTGAATCATATTCATTGTGTGTGTGTGTGTGTCTGTAGATGTATACATGCATAAATATTAATATATATGTATATATATTATACATACCACACTTTGTTTAGTTCTTTTTTTTTTTTTTTTTGAGATGGACTCTCACTCTGTTGCCCAGGCTGGAATGCAGTGGCAGTGGTGCAATCTCGGCTCACTGCAACCTCCGCCTCCCAGGTTCAGAGATTCTCCTGCCTAAGCCTTCCAAGTACGTTGCTGGGATCACCTGCCACCATGCCCAGCTGATTTTTCAATTTTTTTCTTTTCTGAGACAGAGTCTCACTGTCGCCCAGGCTGGAGTGTAGTGGTGCAATCTCTGCTCACCGCAACCTCCGCCTCCCAGGTTCAAGCAATTCTCCTGCCTCAGCCTCCTAAGTAGCTGGGATTACAGGTAGGCGCCACCACGCCGAGCTAATTTTGTATTTTTAGTAGAGACGGGGTTTTACCACGTTAGTCAGGCTTGTCTCGAACTCCTGACCTCATGATCTTCCCGCCTCGGCCTTCCAAAGTGCTAAGACTATAGGCGTGAGCCACCATGCCCGGCAATTTTCAAATTTTTAGTAGACATGGGGTTTTGCCACATTGGCCAGACTGGTCTCAAACTCTGGACCTCAACTGATCTGCCTGCCTCAGCCTCCCCAAGTGCTAGGATTACAGGCATGAGCCACCACATCTGGCCCACTCATCTGTTCTTGGTTTTTTTGGTATTTTTACTTTATCTCTCTCTCTCTTTTATTTTTCCTTGAAGCCCTGTTGGACTTGATCCATTCATCTGTTGATAGACACTTGGATGCTTCCACCTTTCAGCTGTTGAAAACAGTGCTGCTATGAACGGGGGTGCGCAAGTGTCTGTTCAAGTCCCTGCTTTCTTTTGTGTATTCACCAGAAGTAGAATTGTTGGGTCATATGGTTTCATTCTATGTTTAATTTTTTGAGGAACTGTGGTTATTTTTTTAAAATATTTTTTCTGTAATTGCTGAGTGCATGATTCTATATGTGATTATTAAATGGAGTTTTTGTTCAAATTTTCTATAGTTCCTGTAAGTTTTCTAAATTTCTATTCTTTATAAATTTTTATCATCTTGGCCTATTTCTGAGAAAGGTGAATTGGAATCTCCTACATGGTGATTTTGTTAGTTTCTTCTTGTGAGTCTTTTGAATTTTACATTATATATTTGGAGGCTATTTTGTTAGGTGCATATAAGTTTAGAAACATAAATCTTCCTTCTGAATGGAATTGCTTTTTTGATTATAGAGCCACCCTTCTTAACCCAAAATAGTGATTTCTATTTTTAAAGTCTATTTTGTCTTATACAAAGATAGCGCTCATCCTTTATTTTCAAACACCGTATGTCTTCATATCTTAAAGTGTGTTACTTGTTACTACTGTGCACCTAGATTTGGGTATTTTATCCAATCTGACAAATTCTGTCTTTTCTTTTCTTTTTTTTTTTTTAAGACAAGTTCTCTCTCTCTCTTGCCCAGGCTGGAGTGCAGTGACACTATTCCCCTGGGCTCAAGCGATCCTCCCACCTCAGTCTCCTGAATACCTGGGAACAGGCGCACATCATCACACTCAGCTAATTTTTTGTATTTTTGGTAGCGATGGGGTTTCACCATGTTTCCCAGTCTGGTCTCAAACTTCTGAGCTCAAGTGATCCACCTGCCTCAGCCTCCCAAAGTGCTGCGATTACAGGCATGAAACCAACGCCCAGCTGGGTTGGTTTCAATGGTTACTGAAAAAAACAGTAGTGCCACCTTTGCGGAAGATTCAGGAGTAAGAAAACAAACAGAACAACAGATGAGTGAGTAAATGAAAACCTAATTACAACAAATAAAAGTGTTACAAAGACAGGGTACAAGAAATGGGACAGAGGATAAAGGTGTGTACCTAGGCCTGTCAGGCTGAGAGCTCTTTTGAAAGTGGGAGTTTTTGCCAGGCTTGGTGGCTCACATCTGTAATCTCAGCACTTTGGGAGGCTGAGGTGGGTGGATTATGAGGTCAGGAGTTCAAGAGACCAGCCTGGCCAACATGGTGAAACCCCGTCTCTACTAAAAATACAAAAATTAGCCAGGTATGGCAGCAAACACCTGTAATCTCAGCTACTCAGGAGGCTGAGGCAGGAGAATTGCTTGAACCCCAGAGACAGATTGCAGTGAGCTGAGATCGAGCCACTGTACTCCAGTATGGGAGACAGAGCGAGACCGCATCTCAACTGTTTAAAAAAAAGAAGTCTGGGCACAGTGGCTCACGCCTGTAATCCCAGCACTTTGGGTGGCCAAAGCTGGCAGATCACCTGAGGTGAGGAGTTTGAGACCAGCCTGGCCAACATGGTGAAACTCTGTCTATACTAAAAGTACAAAAAATTAGCCAGGTGTGGTGGTGCACACCTGTAGTCCTAGCTACTCAGGAAGCTGAGGCAGGAGAACTGCTTTAACCTGGGAGGTGGAGGTTGCAGTAAGCAGTGATTGTGCCACTGTACTCCAGCCTGGGTGACAGAGCTAGACTCCATCTCAAAATAAACAAAAATGTTCTCAAAATAGACGGTGGTGATGGTTGCATGACATTGGGAATGTACTCGACTACTGCATTGTGTGTTTTAAAATGGTCTAGGCCAGGCATGATGGCTTATGCCTGTAATCCCAGCACTTTGGGAGGCCAAAGTGGGAGGATTGCTTCAGCCCAGGAGTTCCAGACCAGCCTGTGCAACATAGCGAGACCCAATCCTTTTTTAAAAAAATAAATAAATAAAAAAGGAGCTGTGACTCACACCTGTAGTCCCAGCTACTTGGCAGGCTGAGGCAGAAGAATCCCTTGAACCCAGGTGGTTGAGGTTATAGTAAGTTGTGATCACACCACTATATTCCAGCCTGGGTGACAGAGCAACACGCTGTCTCTAAAAAATAATAAAGTGGTCTAAATGGGGAATTTATTTATTTTATTTATTTATTTATTTTTTTTGAGATGGAGTTTCGCTCTTGTTACCCAGGCTGGAGTGCAATGGCGCGATCTTGGCTCACCACAACCTCCGCCTCCTGGGTTCAGGGAATTCTCCTGCCTCAGCCTCCTGAGTAGCTGGGATTACAGGCACGCGCCACCATGCCCAGCTAATTTTTTGTATTTTTAGTAGAGACGAGGTTTCACCATGTTGACCAGGATGGTCTCGATCTCTTGACCTCGTGATCCACCCGCCTCGGCCTCCCAAAGTGCTGGGATTACAGGCGTGAGCCACCGCACCTGGCCTAAATGGGGAATTTATGTTATATGGATTTTACATCAGTTAAAAATGTGTACATTCTGTAAGCATATATAGATATACATAGACATGCACACACCCACCTTAGCCCTGCTCCTGTAGATTTTGACTGTTTGGGGCGATGCTTGGGCACTTATGTTGTTAGCAGGCTTTCTGATGATTCTGATCCATATCAAAATTGAGGGCCAGATGCAGTGGCTCACACCTGTAATCCCAGCACTTTGGGAGGTCAAGGCAGGTGGATCACCTGAGGTCAGGAATTTAAGACCAGCCTGTTCAACGTGGTGAAACCCTTTCTCTACTAAAAATACAAAAATTAGCTGAGTGTGGTAGCATGTGTCTATAATCCCAGCTACTTGGGAGGCTGAGGCAGAAGAATCACTTGAACCCAAGGGGTGGAAGTTGCAATGGGCCAAGATGGCGCCACTGCACTCTAGCCTGGGTGACAGAGCAAGACTCTGTCTCGAAAGAAAGAAAGAAGAAAGAAAAGAAGAGAAGAGAAGAGAAAAGAAAAAGAAAGAAAGGAAAGAGAAAGAAAAAGAAAGAGAAAGAGAAAGAAAGAAAAGAAAAGAAAGAAAGAAAAAGAGAAAGAGAGAGAAAGAGAGAAAGAAGGAAAGAAGGGAGGGAGGGAGGGAGGGAGGAAAGGAAGGAACGGAAGGAAGGAACAAAGGAAAGAATGAAGGAAGGAACAAAGGAAAGAAAGAGAAAGAAAGAAATTGAGAACCCCTGACTCAATTTGTCTTCTTGCTCCCTTCTGGCACCATATGAGCTCTTCACATGGTGTGCTTTCATGCGCTTTTTTGAAATTCCATAATATTTGAGACATATATAAGCCATTCACTTTTTATGGTTATTATATTTATTTTTCTCTCCCTGTTCTATAGAATTTTTTTTTTTTGAGACGGAGGCTCACTCTGTCACCCAGGCTGGAGTATAGTGGCACAATCTCCACTCACTGCAACCTCCACCTCCCAGGTTCAAGCAATTCTTTGCCTCATCCTCCTGAGTAACTGGTATTATAGAAGCCCACCACAATGCCCGGCTAATTTTTGTATTTTTAGTAGAGACAGGGTTTCACCATCGTGGCCAGGCTGGTCTTGAACCCCTGACCTCATGATCCACCCAACTCAGCCTCCCAAAGTGCAAGGATTAAAGGCGTGAGCCACCATGCCTCTACTTTTTTTTCTTCTCATAGAAGAAATAAAAAATTGTATAATAGAGGCTGAGCACAGCTTGTATTTATCTTTTTCTTATTTTTCAGACTTGGAGTCCAGGTGTGAGAAATTTCTACAAAAAGGTATTTTTGAAGTCAAGGCATTCAACTGGGAGATCATGGAAAGCCTTAAATGCTGTGACCTGGAGGGCTCCGATTTTAGAGATGACTGGGAATGCGAAGGCCAGTTTGAGAGGCAAGTCAGTGAGGAGTACTATTTTAAGCAAGTGAATGTCACCTATGGACATATGCCCGCGTTCCAGCATCACACATCTCACACTGTGCGTCAGAGCAGTGAGACTGGTGAGAAACTGATTGAATGTCCTGAATGTGGGAAAGCGTTTAGCCGTGGCTCACACCTTATTCAACATCAGAAGACTCACACTGGGGAAAAACCCTTCGGATGTAAGGAATGTGGGAAGGCCTTCAGCCGTGCCTCACACCTCGTGCAGCACCAGAGAATTCACACGGGTGAGAAACCCTATGAATGTAAGGACTGTGGGAAGGCCTTTGGTCGTACATCAGAACTTACTCTACATCAGCGACTTCATACTGGTGTCAAACCTTACGAATGTAAAGAATGCGGAAAGAGCTTTAGGCAGCATTCACAGCTGATTCTGCATCAAAGGACTCACACAGGCGAGAAGCCCTACGTATGTAAAGACTGTGGCAAGGCTTTCATTCGTGGCTCACAGCTTACTGTGCATCGGAGAATCCACACGGGTGCCAGACCCTATGAGTGTAAAGAATGTGGGAAAGCCTTCAGGCAGCATTCACAGCTGACTGTACACCAGCGAATCCACACTGGGGAGAAACCCTACGAGTGTAAGGAATGCGGAAAGGGCTTTATTCACAGCTCAGAAGTTACTCGACATCAAAGAATTCATTCTGGGGAGAAACCCTACGAGTGTAAGGAATGCGGGAAGGCCTTTAGACAGCACGCACAGCTTACACGACATCAGAGAGTCCATACTGGTGACAGACCCTATGAATGTAAGGACTGTGGGAAGGCATTTAGTCGGAGTTCATACCTCATTCAGCATCAAAGGATCCACACCGGTGACAAACCCTACGAATGTAAGGAATGTGGGAAGGCCTTTATTCGTGTTTCACAGCTAACTCATCATCAGCGAATTCACACTTGTGAGAAACCCTATGAATGCAGGGAATGCGGAATGGCCTTTATTCGTAGTTCACAACTTACTGAACATCAGAGAATTCATCCTGGTATCAAACCTTACGAATGTAGAGAGTGTGGGCAGGCATTTATTCTCGGCTCACAACTCATTGAACACTACAGAATTCATACTGGTTAGAAAACCTTGAGTGTGAGGGATAAAGAGAAGGCTTTATGTGGACTTCACATCTGTACTAGGTAATTTTTGGTGTGTGTGTGTGAGATGGAGTTTCACTATTGTCGCCCAGGCTGGAGTGCAATGGCACAATCTCGGCTTACTGCAATCTCCGCCTCCGGGTTCAAGTGATTCTCCTACTCAGCCCCCCGAGTAGCTGGGATTACAGGCATGCGCCACCATGCCCAGCTGATTTTGTATTTTTAATACAGGCAGGGTTTCTCAAACTCCTGACCTTGTGATCTTCTCATCTTGGCTTTCCAAAGTGCTGGGATTACAGGCATGAGCCACGGCGCCCGGCTAATTTTGTATTTTTAGTAGAGATGGGTTTTCTCCATGTTGGTCAAGCTGGTCTTGAACTCCCGACCTCAGGTGATCTGCCTGCCTCGGCTTTCCAAAATGCTGGGATTACAGGCATGAGCCACCGCACCCAGCCAGTACTAGGTAATTTTTACCGTAGTGTAATTAATGTGAGAAAACATCTGACACTTCCACCACAGAACATCAGAAAACTCACACCCAAAGAAAATTCAGTAAATGTGGGAATTCTTTCTGCCTCACTCACTGTTTCCTAAGCATCAGATAATCTACGCTAAAAAAAAAAAAAGAGAATATTCGAAAGCTGCCTCTTGCCGTTCAAAATATGTTAAATTTCTGAGAATTCCTAATACAAAATGGCCCTATTAAAAGATTCAGTGACTGTGCCTTCCACCATGCCATATACCTTACTTAGCAGTATAGTGTCTCACTTCCCCTGATTATGGACTACATAGCATCGGGCAATTTATTTGATCTCTCTGTCCCTCAGTTTACTTATTTTTAAGTGGTGATTATTATGCCTAATAGAATTTTTATGAGGACTAAATGACGTATTTTATGTAAAGCCTTAGAAGTAATACCTGGCACACACAAGTGCTCAGTAACTATTAGCTATTGTCAACTTGATTATCAGTATCACTGATAAGGATTTCATATGAGATGAGAGGAGAGCCCCTTATGAATGTATCCAAAAGTCTTCATAACCAGTTGATATGATCATTTACTCCAAAAAATAGTGGGAAAGCATAATTATTATGAGGTCTTAAATCAAAAGGTTAGAAATTCAGAAGATTCTAAATAAACAGAAGCGTGACGGGGCAAGGTGGCTCACACCTGTAATCCCAGCAGTTTGGGAGGCTGAGGCAGGCGGATCACTTGAAGTCAGGAGTTCAAGACCAGCCTGGGCAACAGAGAGAGACCCTGTCTCTTCAAAAATAAATTTGCCACGCAGGGTGGCGCATGCCTGTGGTCCCTGCTACTTGAGAGGCTGAAGTGGGAGGATCACTTGTGCCTAGGAGGTCAAGGCTGCAGTGAGCTATGATCATGCCAGTGCACTACAGTCCAGAGTGAGACCATGTCTCAAGAAAAAAGAAAAAAATTAACAGAAGAATAGCCAAAAGCAATAAGCCCATTTTCTAAAACCACTCTATAACTTAAAGAGAAATCAAAACTAAAATTACAAACTAGAAATGAACGAGTAAATTCTACATATCAGAATTAGCTTGGGCCAGGTGTGATGGTTCATATCTGTAAATCACAGCACTTTGGGAAGCCAAAGTGGGTGAATCACTTGAGGTTAGGAGTTCAAGACCAGCCTGGCCAACGTGGTGAAACCTCATCTCTACTAAAAATAGAAAATTAGCTGGGCATTGTGGCACATGCCTGTAATCCCAGCTACTCGGGAGGCTGAGGCAGGAGAATCACTTGAAACCAGGAGGCAGAGGTTGCAGTGAGCTGGGATCGCTTGCACTCCAACCTGGGCAACAAGAATGAAATTTAGTCTCAAAAAAAAAAAAAAAATTAGCCAGGTGCAGTGGTGCATACCTGTAGTCCCAGCTACTTGGGAAGCTGAGGCAGGAGAATTGCTTGAACCCAGGAGGCAGAGGTTGCAGTGAGCTGGGATCGCTTGCACTCCAACCTGGGCAACAAGAATGAAATTTAGTCTCAAAAAAAAAAAAAAAATTAGCCAGGTGCAGTGGTGCATACCTGTAGTCCCAGCTACTCGGTAGGCTGTGGCAGGAGAACTGAGCCTGGGAGGTGGAGGTTGAAGTGAGCTGAGATCATGCCACTGCACTCCAGCCTGAGTGACGCAGAGAAGAACTAGTTTAGCATAGCCAATGCTGTATTCTGTGGCTCACAACTCATAACCTAAGGATTGAAAGTAGCAGCTTTGTTCTCTATGTGTAGTTCTCCAACACCTCTTCACTGCCAGTCACATACTAAACATGTTGAATGAATGAGTAGTCAACTCTCAAAGTTAGGAGAAAATTACAATATAAATCAAAGCAGTAAGGTTATTAAAAATAAAAATGAACAGATTGGAAAACAAAACAGTAGATTTCATCTCAAGGTTGTTTAACAATATATTAAGACTATTTACAAGTGTGATCTAGGAAAAAAATATGAATAAGAAAGGGGATAAAGATTTTTCAAAGATAGCTTACTATGCATGACTTTATTCTGTTTTAAAAATCTAGACAACATGGATTTTTACAAAAATATTAAAATTGATTCCTAGGATTTCTGTAATCCTAGCACTTTGGGGGGCCAAGGTGGGTGGATCACCTGAGGTCAGAAGTTCGAGATCAGCCTGGCCAACATGGTGAAACCCCATCTCTATTAAAAATACAAAAATTAGCTGGGCGTGGTGGCATGTGTCTGTAATCCCAGCTACCTGGGAGACTGAGGCAGGAGAATTGCTGAAACCCAAGAGGCAGAGGCTACAGTGAGCCTAGATTGTGCCAGTGCACTCCAGCCTGGGTGATAGAGCCAGACTCGATCTCAAAAAACAAACAAAAAAATTAGCTGGGCGTGATGGTGCACACCTGTGGTCCCAGCTACTCAGGAGGCTGCAGAAGGAGAATCGCTTGAACCTGGGAGGTGGAGGTTGCAATGAGCTAAGATCACGCCACTGCACTCCAGCCTGGGTGACAGAGCGAGACTGAGTCTAAAAAAAAATAAATAAAAAACAGCAGCTAATTTTAAATAAAATGTCTGGAACCTTACTGCTCTGAATTGATGATTTCAGACTGTTGATACCATGCCCCAATAGATCACAATGATGGGGAATAGAGCCTTGATCCATAAGTGACATCTGGATCAGGGTTTGCCAATGAGTCTGGAATCTCAAGAAACTGATCTCCTTAGCCCTTGGGGTAGCCAGCCAATGTCTGGGACAGGGAGCCACTTGCACTTTGATGCCAGCTGTCTTATCAATCATCTATATATCTGTTGCCTACAAATGATTAGAAAGCAATGTTCTGTATGTTATTTTTCTTTAAGTGGTTTAATTAAAATGTTCTGTTGGAGGGACTCAAAGGTATGACATTAAAAAATTTCACTCTGGCCGGGCGTGATGGCTCACGCCTCTAATCCTAGCACTTTGGGAGGCCGAGGTGGGTGGATCACCTGAGGTCAGGAGTTCAAGACCAGCCTGGCCATCATGGAGAAACCCCATCTTTAAAAA